AAAAAAAAAAAAAAAAAAAAAAAAACTGCTAGATTCCGAGACAAATGTATAAAACTAAAAACAGGAACATGTCTGCATTGGTCCCTGCCAGGAGTCCAACAGATTCTTAAAGCCACTTAGAGAGGTCAAGGTCGAGAGCTTCAAATCTTTTTGTAAGATATTCCAAGAAACAGGAGCGGAGTAGGAGAAGGCCCTTTTGCCTAGTTCAGTCCTCACTGAGGGAACACTGCAGGTAATAATGTCCTGAGAGCGCACTCCGTAGCTGCACTCACGCAGAGACATGTAGGAGGAGATGTATGAAGGCAGCAGACCAAGAAGTGATTTAAAGATGAAAATGTACCAGTGAGAGAGTCTGCGTGAAGTTAATGATGTCCAGTTAACCAGTGAATACAGGGTGCAGTGGTGGGTACGATAATCACAGCCAGTTATGAATCTTAGTGCACCATGATAGACAGCATCCAACATCTGCAGGGTTCTTGTAGGAGCGTTCATGTAAATAATATCACCAAAATCAATTGAGGGAAGGAAAGTCACAGATACAAGGCGTTTTCTAGCATTCAGGGTTAGACAGGATCTGTTTCTGAAAAAGAAACCCAGTTTAACTTTCAGTTTCTTTACCAAGTTTTCCACATGGAGCTTAAAAGAAAGATGTGAGTCGACCAAGATACCCAAATATTTATAGGAATCAACAAACTCAATGGGGACACCATTTGAGGATAAAATCGGAGGAAGAACTGCTGGGACCAACTTCCTATTTGAAAAAAGCATCCCTTTGGTTTTTTCGGCATTTAGGACAAGTTTGAGGTGAAACAAATCAGTCTGGATGATGTTAAATGCAGATTTCAGAAGCTGGAAAGCCTTAGCAACTGTTTTAGCTCGACAATAAACAACTGTGTCATCAGCATAGAAATGTATGGATGCATTAGGGATGTTTTTACCTACATTATGTATGTAGATTGTAAAGAGGGTGGGTCCTAAGACTGAGCCTTGTGGTACACCATTGTTGACTGTTAAATAACTGGAGGAAGTACCATTATGTTGAACACATTGCCTCCGGTCTGAAAGATAGTTAGAGAACCAACCAATGGTGTGATCTGAGAAACCGATTTCTGAGAGTTTATGACACAAGATGTTATGATCCACAGTGTCAAAAGCTTTAGACAGGTCTAAGAAAAGTGCAGCACAATAATCCTTAGCATCCAGTGCTTCAACAACGTCATTAAGAACATTCAGTGAAGCAGTGGTTGTGCTGTGTTGTTTCCTGAAACCAGATTGATGTGGAGGTAAGATGTTAAATGAGTCCAGGTAATTTTTGATTTGAGAGTTTATCAGTTTTTCTAGAACCTTGGCTAAAATGCAGAGTTTAGAGATTGGTCGATAGTTGTTCAGTGAGGTGGGGTCACCTCCCTTCAGCAAAGGAAGAACAAAGGCTGTTTTCCAAGTGTCTGGGATGGAGTTTTGTCTTATGGAGAGATTGAAGATGTGGGTCACAGGGACTGTGATGATATGAGCAGCCAGCCTTAAGAAATAAGGTGGAAGTTCATCTGGACCTGCAGATTTTTTAGGATCAAGATCTTTTAACAGTTTATTGACCTCACTGACTGAGAATGGAGAAAAAGAGAAGCTGTGATTAACTGAGGATTGACTTGTAGGAGAGATTTGATTTGTAGAAGTTTGGTTATTAAGTGAAGTGGCTGATTTTCCATTAGTTACTGTGTCAAATAAAGAACTAGAAGCAACAAAATGTTTGTTGAGACAGTTCAGGATCTCGTGCTTATTTGACACAGGAGCAGAGTTAACGAGAAGTTGTGATGGGAGGTCAGATGATTGGGGGGTGCCTGAGAGAGATTTAATTGTTTTCCAGAATCTGTTAGGGTCATTTAGATTTTTGGAGGTCTGAGATAAGAAATAGTTTCGTTTTGCTGCTTTGACAGCAGTTGTACATTTATTCCTCATCTGTCGAAAACTCAACCAATCAGTGTCTGAGTCAGATTTTCTCGCTGCGGCCCAAAGATGATCTCTCCTGTGCAGGAGGTCAGCTAGCTCTGGAGTAAACCAGGGGCTGTCTCGTCCCTTTATTCTGAACTGACGAAAAGGAGCATGTAAGTTCAGGAAATAAATGAAATTATTATGGAAATAGTTCCAAGCAGAGTTCACGTCATCAGTTAACAGAATACGATGCCAGTCAAAGTGAGACAGATCCCAGAGGAATGACTGTTCACAGAAATGTTTCAGATCCCTTTTTTTAATTAATCTGGGCTTAGAAGGTGGAAGTTTACTATTTCTTAAAGCCGCTGTCACACAATGATCACTCAAAAGATCAGCGAATACACCTGTACCAGGGAATTTGTGAGGCATATTAGTTAGAAACAGGTCTAAGATGGAGGAATTGTCAGGATGGCTTTTATTTAATCTGGTGGGGGAGTCGATCAGTTGGGTTAAATTAAAAGACAAGCAACATTCCTTGAATTTGTCACAGAGGGGGGTCGACTTACACCAATCAATGTTGAGATCTCCAGCCAAAAAGATCTCTTTGAATTTTAAATTACCAAGGAATTCCTTAATGGCATTTAATGCTTCAGGTGAAGCTGTGGGGGGGCGGTAGCAGCAGACTACAGTTAAAACCTGGCCTCCATTCAAGGTGATGTTTACAGATAAGGCTTCAAACTGGTTTGGAATTGTTTTGAAAGTCACAAGACTTGAAACCAGAGTGTCTCTAATGTAAATAATGACTCCACCCCCCCTTTTTTGACGATCACAGCGGTAGATGTTAAACCCATTGATTGCCATGTCATTATTCATTACAGATTTGTTGAGCCAGGACTCAGAAATAAAGATAACATCTGCCCCAGAAGAACTGACCAGGATTTTCACAGCATCAAGTTTTTTCAGAAGGCTACGAGCGTTTACATGCAGAAAATGGAGCCCAGAGGCGTTTTTAAAGTCATTTGGTGTGCTGTAATTAGTGGGGGGTCCAGGATTAGGTTGAATTCCTGAGAGCAATAACAACATTATTATCAGACATTTTCTTGAGTTTTTTGTGACTGATGTGTAATTACAGGAGTTAACAGTGTGACAATTAGCCCCCATAATCGAACCATGAGAAACATTAATGAAGACGCGATCATTCAGAACCCAAAAACAGTGAAAGTTGCAGTGATGGACAGATTCAGGTGTATTAACAAGATTCAGTGACTCCAGATAATCTGAGAACTGAAAATAGTGACAGTAATATGAATGATGCAGAAAAGATTCAGACCATAAAATGTCACAGTTCAAATGGGCAAACAAACCCGACGAGGTGGCCCAACTGCAGTTTGAGTCAGGCTGAGGGGGGCTCCGGCCCCCCTGTGAAGATGGATGGATGGATGGATGGACGCTCCCATGAGAAACAGAAGCTGGGTCCAGAATCAACAGGCCGAAACAGAAACTGAAAATTCGCAGCAAATAGCAGAGCGAGCTGCCAGAAAATCCTCCTGAAGTGAAAGGCATGATCCAAGTTCGTTTCAGGTCAACAGGGGCCAACAACGTGATCCGGAATAAAATTAATTATTATCCAGGTGAGTTTGGATGGAGGCCTGCAGCAGCTCCGATACAAACTCCCAACTTCTCTCGAGCACCACGCAGCCCTGCTCCTCCACGCTGCTCCTCCACGCTGCTCCTCCGCTTCTCAGCACCCGACAGCACGGGGCACCCCCGGTGAAAAGCGAGACTGACCGGAGAGGCTGAGGCTGAAGTCGGCAACTGGTCCGGTCCGGTTCTGCTCCAGTTCGGCTCCGGCGCTCCAAGCACGAGAGACGAAGAGGCTGAAGATATCCCTGGCCCGGTTTTGCTCCGGTCCGGCGGCCCAGTCAAGCAGCGCGGTTCTGCTCCGGTCCGGCGGCCCAGTCTGGCGGCGCGGTTCTGCTCCGGTCCGGCAGCCCGGCGGCGCGGTTCTGCTCCGGTCCGGCGGCGCTTCAAAGCACCGGAGCGTCTCCTCCAGGTGAACACAACGACTCCACGGAGGTGGATCGTCCTTCAGTAAAAGTAACGGGCTGCTCACTGAAGCTGAGACCGGCTCTGTAGAAGACGAATTTCCCCACAGCCACCTCGATTCGGTTCTGGTCCAATTCGAGGGTCACAGGTACACTTCCCCCACACCTATGGAAACACCACGAGGGCCAGACCAGCTGAAAACCAGCGAAATACCACCCGGCGATATTTGTCGGAACCAGGTAGAACCACAAAGGTCCAGATAAGAGTTCGTTGAGGTCCAGGGAGAGAGAGAAAAAAAACACCGGACCTTCGTGCGTCGACTCCCCAGCTCGAGGGGTCACCTGGCCGGCAGGGTGCGCTCAGAGTGACCGATGGGGGGGAGCGGCCGATCGGTCCAGGGCCAAAATATTATTATTATTTTTTTTGGACGGTCCCGTCCGGCTCTCTGAGTCACTGAACACCGAATTCGGTTGGAAGGAGGACCAACTTTAGTCCAGTTCGAAAAACGGGTCAGTTTGATGATAAAAGACTGCAGAGAAGCCGGAGGGAGCTGCTGTCCATCAGCTCGCCGGAAGTGAAGTGTGAAAATATAGGCTATTTATTAAGCTCACAGAAATGGCAGGAAAGTTGCAAATAATCTTGAAGGTTCTTGAAGCTCTATTATCCATGCACACATCAACCTGGATGGGGCTGGTGGGCTTCATTGCTGTAGGGTAGGTCTGCAGAACCGGAACCGAGCCTGACCGGAATTGAGCTGCTGGTCTGCAGAGTTGGTGAGTAAACGTATGCATGTACTGTACAGTACACATACATATGTTGTTAAAATTATGTAGGTTCAAGAGTTTAGAAAATTGCAAGAGTGTGGGAAGGGCTTATAGAGCCTTAAAATACATAAAATACAAAAATAAATAGTGTTCCTACTTTACGGTTTTTCATCTATTGTGGGGATGTGTGGAACGTAACCCCCGCGATAATCAAGAGACTACTGTAAAATCAATTTGCAGACTTTTCATGGCTGCGTAAGAACCCTGTATTTTAGAAATGTCCTAAAATGTCACGGGAATTAACTTATTTTAATAACCTTTATTTAACCAAGTAAATCCCATCGAGACCACAGATCTCTTTTGCATGGGAGGCCTGGGCATGCATGTTTTTGATCTGTGGGAGGACATTATAATAACTGCAAAGGGATGCTGTTTTCAAATAGTAAGTCAGTCCCAGCAGTCCTCCCTTCTATTTTATCTTCGAATGGTGCTCCTATTGAGTGATGATGAGTAATGAGTTTGTCGATTCTTATAAATACTTGGGTATCTTGGTCGACTCGCATCTCTATTTTAAGTCCCATGTTGAAAACTTGGTAAAGAAAATGAAAGTAATGGTTTCTTTTTCAGAAATAGATCCTGTCTAATTCTGAATGTTAGGAAACACCTTGTAACTGCTAATTTCCTTCCCTCCACTGACTACAGTGACATTATTTACATGAATGCTCCTACAAGCACCCTACAGATGTTGGACGCTGTCTATTATGGTGCGCTAAGATTCATAAATGGCTGTAACTGCTGTACCCACCATTGATCCATGTATTCACTGGTTAACTGGTCATCATTAACTTCACACAGACTCTCTCATTGGTACATTTTCATCTTTAAATCACTTCTTGGTCTGTTGCCTTCATACATCTCCTCCTCCTTGTCTGCATGAGTGCAGCTACAGCGTGCACTCTCAGGACATTATTACCTGCAGTGTTCCCTCAGTGCGAACTGAACTAGGCAAAAGGGCCTTCTCCTACGCCGCTCCTGTTTCCTGGAATATCTTACAAAAAGATCTGAAGTTGTCAACCATGACCTCTCTAAGGGATTTGAAACTACTTTTAAATTCATGGCACAAACCAACACAGACAGGTTCCTGTTTTTAGTATTTTACATTGCGTTATAATGTAGCTGTTTTTGTTTCTTTTTTAAATTTCATTTCTTCTATTTACTTTTAATTTTATATGATTGTCTATTGTTGTCTGTACCTCGTCATGTGTGTTCTTTGTTTAAAACAGGTCTCTCTTGTAAATGAGTCCTCGAGGCTCAATGAGACTAAATGTATAAATAAAGGTTGAATGAAAAATATTGTCACTAGTTCTTACAGTCCTTAAATCCCACTTACCTCTACGTATGGCGGCCAGCAGGTCGGAGCGTGCGTCGCTCATTGGGATCATTCCCAGCATGGTGGTCTTCCTTGTTGGGGGCGCTGCGTCCACAGCTGTCTGGCTGATGGCAGCATGGGGTGGGGATGGGTGAGCCTGGTGTCCCACTGGTGCCCCAGGAGGTGGGGGAGGAGGTGCGGCTGGGGGTGCGCCTGAAGGTGGGTGGGCGGGGGAGGGTACGTAGTTGGCAGGAGGAGGAGGAGGAGAAGGAGAGTAGTGGCAAGAGAGGGCAGAGGAAGTTGGAGGGATAGCAGAGGCAGCAGCGGAAGGTGGGGCTGTGGTGGAGTCGAAGGCAGTCTGGGAGGAAGGGATGGTTGGAGGAGGTGGGGGAGGGGCTGGTGGGATGTAGTACTCTGGGATGGTGGAAGGCTGGCCGCTGCAAGGGGAACAAAGAGGGATGAGAAAAACCTGATCATAAGCTGCACACAGAGGTTAGTGTAGTTTATTCAGCAGAGAGAAGCTCATAGATGTCACAAAATGTTCTTAATCCCATCATCTTAAATTACTAGACTGATCAAACCAGACTGAGAGTGTTATTATAGACAAATTATATTATACAAAAAGGACTTAAACTGATAAAAGAGATCCATACAAAACTAGAGAAATTGCATTTGGTGCAAAATTGAGGTTTGAATGCTGGGTGCTAAATGACTGCTGATTTGTAATGAAGTAGCTGAAACTTAGTTATTAAAGCTAAAAGAAACAGAACAATAGCTAAAAACTACCAAGGTAGAAAACTAGCTAAAAGGTAAAAGTAGCAAAAGGTTAGCTAAAAGCTAAAATTAAATAAATACCAGCTACTAAAAGTACTAGAAGCCTATCTACAAGCTCAAATTAGCAAAATTCTAACTAAAGGCTAAAAGTAAAACACTACCAAAAAGCTAAAAAATGCTAAAGACAAGTTATAGGCTGAAAGCGTTAAAAGGCTGATTAGACGCTAAAGGTAGCAATAAGCTAGCTAAAAGTAGCATCGGAAAACAAAAACAGAGTATATTTACAGATTATATCAAGAACAATGTTTTTAAATGAACTGATCTAAATGTATTTCTACAGAGAAAATAACTGTAAACAAGCATTAAATATTTTGAAAAGTATAAAAGTTACAAAAACACAAAGCCATTGCACCGATCTCCTGAATGAGCTGAAGGTTATGATATATAGGTTGTAAAAATTTTACTGCATGTAGAAGTTGTATATATATATATATATATATATATAAAACATCTGGAAAAAAACAAACAGGAAAAAGATGGTGTGAATGTAGAATTATTATTCCCACACATCGGCTACAGGTCTAAATTAAGTTTTCGATTCTATTATTTGAAAAATGTGATGGAGCAACCCAAACCAGCCTCATGTAGAGCACATTTAGCACCTTTTGACTGATAAAGATGGAACATGATTCAAACTGAACAGGGAATTTTACATCGTGTGTGATGAAGATAATAAAGGTCTAAAAAAATCCCATCCTTCTACCCTTTAATCTTTCCTTATGTTTTATGCATTCATGCCGAGGGGTAGAAGTGTCCAGAATTATTTTTATGATGTGGGGGGAGGGGGAGAAGCAGGGCTTTCTGGCCCTTCAAACCCATTATTGGTAAGCTCGCCAAAACCCAAAGGCTGAGTTGCGCTTGTAAAAATCCCACAAATGTACTCTTTATTAATTTATTTTATTGTCACAACCATAAAAATGCCATTTTCTATTGGATTTTGTGTTGGATGTGTGAATTTGTTTGGTGTACTCCTCAGATTGAAGAAGTCCTTTGGATGAAGGACGAAACATCTCAGCAAAAAAAAAGAAACCGTCCAGATGACCTGACTGAACGTTGTTGGATTTTTACCTGGATTATCGAGCATGGACTTTGGCATTTTTGTTTTTAATCTTTCTTAATAATCATAAAATAAAAACATGGCATTACTGCAAGCTAGATATCTATAGTAATTACACAGCTTTTATGTACATATTGATGATTATATTGATGATCTGTTTACAATAAGGAATCTGTGCATGATTCTTGAAATGGTGTCCCATTTGATAGAAGGATAATTCAGTGACTCTGAATAAAGGATGAGTAAGGTTAACATTAGAAAATGAGATTCAGCTAAAGTCTTTTAAGTCCACAGTTGTTTAAGGATGTTTTCACACCTGATAGTCCAGTAGACTCAGTTCTATTGGGGACCAATATTCAGAACGTTTGTTTACATTTTTTACACATTTGTTCCTGTAAAGTACCCTGAGACAACTTTGTTGTGATTTGGCGCTATATAAATAAACTGAATTGAATTGAATTTTCGCACCGAGTCAGTCAAGCCAACCTGTCCCCCCGCC